AAAAAAACAATATGTTGATGAATTATTATTCTGAAAAAGAAAACTTTTCAATAACTCAATAAATTACCTACCATAATGTGGTATTCTTCATGTTCTTTGATGGGTTCTGAAGTTATACCTAAAACAACATTTCAAAGATTAAGTAAACATCAATCTATTTATGGAGTAGACATTTTGCAGATAAAATATTGATAGAGAATAAGAATTCAACTTGAGATATGTGTAGAATATTGAATATGCAATTCTTATCTTACTTCTTACTTATATTATAAATGCGAAAGTTTAGATGGATGGATGGATGTTTATTACCTAAATGGCTGAACGGATCTCAATGTAATTTGCCATAGATGTAGAGGATAGTCTAGAAGAACAGATAGGCTACTCACTTTTTTTTTTATTTTCACGCAGACAGCTAGTAGTTGAACAAAGAACACTTACTTTTAATAGATGTCATGGCAAGTTTTTCAGTTCGTTCTTTTGTACCAACCCAAAGTTGGTCCTGTTCAGGTTTGAATGTTAGCCTCACTTTACCCCCATGTTTATTTAACATACCACTGAGTGGGATAGGAGGCAATGGTTCCTGTAAAATGAATATTAGAACATGTTGCTTTTGATTTTTAACACAAAAATTTGTTAGGTAATTTTTGCTATTGTATGTTATTACCTTAACTCCTTTTATTCCAGGCATAACATCTGGTGGAATGCCTTTATCAAGGACTTTTCTATGATTCTTCTGCATACAAAGTGGTTCCTTACTTGACTGACTACTTGATTTCTCATCTACATCCTGAAATGTTACTGAAACATTATAGTTGATGCAATAGTTGTTTACAATGGGAATCTGCTTTGTAATCTATGTGTCTCAACTATTATCCTAAAAAAACATGAAATTAATTAATACTGGTTATAACATCACCCTTAATCATCAATTTTTTTGTTGTTGTAATAGTATAAAGATGAAAGACATTCCCTTTATATCATAGATTTTTAAAGGAAAAATTACTAAGACTTGATGTAAAGAAATATGCAATTGTTTACTTACCTTTGGTGCACTCTTCACAGCCAAAATATCATCCATTTTAGAGCCGACCAGCATCACTTTCCCACCTTTGACTACTCCAGCTTTCCTGAGTGTCATGGTATCCCGGGCCATGCCTTTGATTATTAGTTTCTGTGCTGATTGCGGCACTCCGCATATTCTCTCCAAGTGAGCCTTTAGCTCTAACACAGTCGCATCGTAAGCAAATGTTATGTCGTGTTTGACTTTATTAAAAACTATTGTAAATTCGACTTGTTCAGGAATTTCACAAACAGAATCTTCAATCGATTCCGAGCTGCAGGCCGCGCTCTCTGCGGGGGCTTCCGCGGGGTCTTTATCATTATCTGCAATTTGTTTGTCTAAAGCAGTCTTAGTATTTCCATTTGATATTAAGTTTGGATCGCAATTTTCTGTTGTGTCACCTTTTCCTGAAGCTAAAAATGAATCGTGAGTTAGCATAATTCTAGAACAAAAGACCTAGGTATACCACAAAGATGTCAAAAAGGGTGCGCTAACAAAGATTTTCGACGATTAATATGACAACTCACCTATATAATCCATATTTTCATTCGATAATTTTTTTCTATGTAATAAATAAGTAAAGACCAATATAAAATGCCGTTGTTTTGAAAAAAATATTAAAAATACAGTGGCTGACGTGAAGCAACAAATTTTTTGTCAATCCTCAATCGTCACCGGTAGCCGGTGCGTTCGGAAATGTATATATTATTGAACGAATCTTTCGACAAATAACACATTTTCTGAATAAAACTTTAAGCAATGCTGTTTTTGTATTATTTTTATTAAATAGCGTGGAAAACGAAAAAAATACTAGACCTTACTCAATTTTTGTTACCTTCATTGCTGATATTATCACCACGTTTGATTAGTCCCGTTTCCAAGGTAACAAGTGAAAAACAATAATTATTTTTGATTATTTCCATATGGTTTCTATTTTATTGCATCGAAAAAATACACGTGTTAAATATATTACTTGTGATCATGAGTTTTAACGTAGATGATCCGCTTGCTGGGATTTTAAGTGATGGGAGTGATGATAGTTTTTTTGATGACGATATACTAGGTAAAAAGAAACCAGTTAAAAAGAACATCACTGCAGTAGAAAAAAAAAGTGCTTTATTTGATTTAGATGACACTACCAAGCCTAAACATAGTGACATCGTACCAAAGAAAAAGACTGAAGTTTCTGAGAATGTCAAGGTTTCTACGAAAACAGAGTTTTCTGAGAAAAATAAACCCGACAACCAGCAGCTAAAGCCTTCAACTTCATTTAAATTGTCAGCTAACACTGAATTAAAGAGAAGCGATTTGTCCATTTCGAAAGACTTGTATGAAGTTAAAGATACAAAAAAATCTCCCGTTAAATCTAAAATTGGGACAAGTAATGAGAAAATTGATATTTTAGATGATATCCTTGGATCGACAAAAACTAACACAGAACAAACAGACAAACGAAAGGGATCACAATCTATATTAGATGATATTTTAGGGAAGCCTTCAAAAGAACCTAGTCAAGTCACAAAACCTGCGTCTTTAAAAACCCAACAATATAACTTAGATAACATTTTAAGTAAAAATGATTCCAAGGAAACATTATCTTCAAAGAAACAAAGCAAACAACCTTTACCAGTATCTTCAAATGAAAACGTCCAAAAGAAAACAAAAGCAAGTGAAGATTGGCTGGGTTTATTTCAGGAGGAAAATGAGGAAACGGAAATGGATAATCCTGATATGCCTTCATGGTTAGGTGGTAGCAGTAATGTAAAGAAGACAACAATGGAAAAACGCAATAAAACGGAACCCAAAAAAGATGTGGACAAAGAGCCTGATGTAAATAAGCCTGCAACAAACCAGAATAAGGAATCGATTGGGCTAAAAGAACCGTCAGATTCCGATACATTAAATGTTAATGGTAATTTAGAAAAAACTGCGATCACATTTCCTAACATAGAGGTGCAAAATGAGAATGACGTCGCGTCGCAGAGCGCAGCGGTGTTTTTGCAGCAGCAGGAGGCACAGTTAATGGTGGCGCTGCAATTGAAAGCACAAGATGAAAAACTTGCCGCAATGCAACGTAAGTTAATATTGTTTTAACTAAAAACAGCGCGTAGTTAGAGATATGGTAAAAGTTTCGTATTAGTGAGCACATTGGGAGTAAAATGAGGCAAGGGACTCGACCTTTGATGTTGATGAGATAGACTGCAATGCGAATAATACGCCTTTAAGGTTGCTGTTGAGCAGCTTAGATTTTGGACGCTGTCTTTCGTCGTTTATTTTGATGTCACGAAATATTTTTATTTTGTGTATTTAAATAGAAATATTAAAGTTAAGCAGAAGGAGGCACAGCGAGTGCACCGCGAGGCCGCCGCGGCGCAACACACGCAGCTGGATGCCATGCTGCAGAAACAAGCCGACCATAGACTACAGATGCAAGCTATTATAAATGCACACCAAGATCGAATTGCACAACGAATAAAGGTTAGTATTAATAATGTGAATTGGGGGTAGATCACTCGGTCAAGGCTACCTGGAAGTTCTCAAAAATGTATAGAAGTTTTTTAGAACATTCAAGTCCTTTATGTTCTTACTAAGAGACGGCTGATAGACTGCTTTATCGTTGTAGGCCCTTTTAGACTCCAATGAAACAGAACAAGATGGCGATATGATCGGTGACGGTTATGAAAATGTTTCAAAGGAAAATAGTGAAAGTCCACGCAGCAAAGAAAAGAAACAATTATTGCAACTAATACAGTCACTACAAGATAATCACGACAAAGAAGTAGACTTAATGGAAACGTCTTACAGGTAAAACATGTATTTTTATGAACGTACATTTAACACCGAAGTTATTACAGTATGCACATTTTTTCACCTGTGCGCTGAATTATTTTGACAGGCGCTTAATTTTATTTGCCTAGGAAACAGCTGGCTTTTTTAGAATTCTCACTTAGTCAAACGGAAGAAAGGATGAAAGAAGAAAGTGAGAAAGTGGTGAACTTTTACACGGAGAAGATAAACTGGCTGGAGGAGCATCACGGACTGTATAAGAAGTGGACAGAAGAGAACATGGCATCAATTATTGGACGACATAATGATGAAAAAGAGATGTTGAGGCAACAGCACATTGAGAATGTGAAAGTACTGCAAGAACATCACACTGCTTTGATGGAGAATATTAAGTAAGATTCTAATCTATCCTTTTATTCGGAGGATTTTGTTTTTGTGGTTGGTCAAAAATTAAAATCTTCAGTTATCATACTTTATACTAACATTTTAAATGCGCAAGTTTAGATGGATGGATGTTTGTTAGAGTTTGTAGCCAAAACGACTGAACGAATTTCGATTAAATTTGGTATAGATGTAGATAATAGGCTGGAAGAACAGATAGGCTACACACTTTTGTTTTTTTTTTTAATTCCGCACGGACGGAGTTGCTAGAAACGGCTAGTAGTTTGTAAGTACAAAGTTGTGGAATCAATGGAAATAAAAATTTTGTTTTTTTGAGTTTCCACTGCTTGAAGACCTACACTATTTAACTGGTTTATTTATATTATTTAAATCTTTCTTCTGTATAGAAACGCTGTAAAACAGGAACAAGTTTTAATGCGAGACTCGGCGGGATTCTCAACTGATATACAAGAACTGTTGGCAGATTTTAGAGATAATAAAATAAAATGTGACCAGTTAGTTGACAAAGTGTCAACGTTAACTGACAAAACACAAACTGAGGTAGAAAGAAGTCTTCAAGTTAGAGAAACACAAATAAATGGTAGAGTCCGTCACTAAATAATGTTTATTTTTACTAATTTAGTCGCTGTTTTAATCCTGCTAGTCCTCGATTTTAGATATGATACAACAATTGAAGAAGGAGAGAGAATACTTTGAGAAGGAGAAGAGTGAAACCAAAGATATGATCCATACGCTGGAAGTGAGGATAAAGCAAATGACTGCGGTAACATTCGATTTTATTCAAAAACAGAAAAGCTAACCAAATAAATATAGTACAATGTGTTTGAAATAAGAATGTGGCCAAACCGTCTAATTCCGAAGTTATAGACACAGACAAATAAAACGAGGCTAAAACTTGGTTAAAAACATTAGTTTTTTGATATGATATCTGAATTAGTTGCGTAAATAATTTTTGTTGAAAACTGTAGACTTGCATATTCTTAGTTGAAACATATTGTAAATTAAGTTGTAAGCCTAGATATATTCTAAAAATTACAGACGATCGAAGAAGATACAGCAATATTGAAACAGAAGAAAATGGAATTTGAATTCGAAAAAGCTACTTTTAGTAAACAAACAGAATTTGCTAAAAACGTACTGAAGAAACAGGACGAAGAAGTAAAGGTAGATTTAATTATTTTATGAAATTAAAATGTTGTAAAAAAATCTGATGTTCTGTCATGTATTTAAATATTTGATATTCTATAGATGTTAAAGGAGGAAATTCAAAAAGAACACAATGATAAAATTTCGAGAATAGAAGAAGAAAAATCAAAACTACTTAAAGACAGTTCTCTTGTAGCGAAAGAAAAAGCAACTGTACAGAGTTTAAGAATGGAGTTAGAGGTAATAGAGTGTTTACATTTACTAAAAATGAAGGTATAAAGTATTCTATTGTTAACTTTTAATACTAATTCTAGAAGACAAAGGCCGAGCTTGAAGCGCAGATGGAAAAAATGTCTGAGGAGAGGTGCAAACTTGCGAGAGAAAAGCAAGACTTACATATGGAGGAGCAACGAATACTGGCAAAGTAAGTCTACTTTATAGAGAATATTTTAAAAAGGCTACCATAAAGTTGCAGGTATTTTAAGGAAACTGGATGTAAATGCCCTTTATTAGTATACTTATAAAAACGGTTTTTAGGGGTAAGGATTTCGATGTACTCTCGAAAGCAGCGTTAGAGAAACAATCACAGGCCGAGAAAAAGTATTCGGAAGCCGAAAAGCAACAGAGAATCTTTGAAGAAAGGATGCACAAACTGCAAGAACATTTAGTATCTCTAAATTCAAGAGAAAAGCAGATAGCTAAAGAAAAGATCGCATTATCCCGTGAAAGGATAAATCTTCACAACGATTGGAAGCAAATGGAGGGTAGACAGCAATGTTCTCTATGTCGTTCTATTCCGAGAACACCGCAATATAACTTCGATGCAGCGTTTTCTAGAAGTTACGATGCGCCCGCGTCTAGAGATTACGGAGAAGCGAATATGAGCCATGCGTTTAGCGCAATAGAGCAGGAAATGGCTCATCTCATGGGAAGGTCGTTCGCTTTGAAACATGACAGTGTAATTGAACAAAGGCCGGATGTAAGGGAGCATGTTGATAGTCATACAGATACTGTGCCATCTGAGGCTGGAGCTTTTAAGGTAAACTTTAGTATATAATTTTTAATGGATAAATCTAGTTTGCAGATACTGCAAATAAAAACTGTAGGTTAATGTAAAATACTAATTATTTTTTTCCAGGATTACATGGATCCAAAGTTTATGATGTTACGTCTAGACGTACAGAAGGTGATACACAATTTAGGTGGCAAAGGTACAACGAATAATTAAATTTGTAAGGATTTTGTAAAATAAAAGACTGAATTTTAAAAGTATTATACTCATTCATTTAATTCACATTCGACGTTTGTTAGGATTAATATTGACCGCAGTCGCGTCGACGTAACGGAAATGCTAAATTGTGAATACATGCTAACTTACTTCATAAATATTTCGACGTAAAAAATATTACACAATCTCTTTTATATTAATAAAATTATTTAAAAGGTACTATAACATACGCATCTAGATTTCGTTCATTATACCTTGACATGTGATGTAAAAAAGAAAATAAAAATGTTCTATGGACGTCAAATGTTTTGACAATGACATCGGCTGTCAAAATTAATTTGCCACTATAGATTAAAAAATAAAATGGTTTACCTATTTTTGTGGGACTCTAAATTCTAAATGTAATTAAATGTTTTTTGATTTACGCAATATATCAAGGTATAATGAACAGATAACATTATGAGATATTCAACATAACTTTTGAATATACGATATAATGGCTTCATATAAATTATTATTATCATTTACAATATATTAAAATAGCAATCTTATCTAAAGGACCCCCAGGCATACGCTCCCAGTCTTTTATTAAAATTGCTTTAAGTAGCTATAAAAGTTTATGGACGGCCTGGCCTTATAATACATTTATTTATATTTTTAATTTGTTCAGATCTTGTATATATTTCATATTCCATGACAGATTGATATTGCACAGTTTAAAAAGTCTATGTAATTTTTTTAATATAAATAGGGGGCAACATACATATTTTGTTTAAGTTTAAAAACTCATATGGTCAAAATGCCCATAAAAATATTTTATGAAAGAAAATAGGGCTTTAGCAATTGCTATTACTATGAAAAAATTTAGTACACAATTTCATCTGCCAATTACTATACAATCTCTTTAACAGCCAAATATTTTTAAACATATAAAATTTGAGATAATGAGGAACAGAATTAATATTTATTGTGTCTATACAAACAATATACTTAAAACAATATTTACATTTGGTTCTATTGTAAATGTTTTTATCTATCTGTTGCCTTTATTCTGGTTAGGCACTTAGTAATTATATACTTTATTATATATTATTTTATTGAATACAATGCTGGATTCTATTTACATTTAAAAATGACGAATTAACCAAATTTGTAACTATTAAATTGGAATAAATTGAATTCAATTATACAGAATTAAAAAAAAAATCAAATATAGTAACCCGCGAAACTGATAGTTTATTTTTTAAATTTATCACAGTAATATTAGGTCTATAGATTATAAAACGTCTAATTCAAATATAGATAATAAAAGTTGGGATTTAATATTTATATTGTTATGATTTTTCTTCTGGTTTCTGATATTTCACTTCTAGTAATTGTGGGTAGTTCTCGACGATGGAAAGCAGAATACCGTCGATGTAGGCTCTCAGTTGGACGTTCACGTCTTGTTGTTCCTTTAAAGCTTTTTGTAACTGAAATTAAAGAAGTATTGATTAGGATTTTTATTTTAAGATTTCAACTTTTTATACTATAGATAGTCTTTGCCTGCTTTGACAGTTTAGGGAAGTCACGTGACAGTCAAAACTAAAAGCGGGAAAATCCAAACTTTACTAAATATTTTTTTTATTATTAAATTGTTTTATTTTATTACTTTAACACACATATATATCTTTTCATTCTATTCGTTTTAATTGTTAAATAGGACTTATTAGTAATCAAACAAAACAACTAACCTTAAAAGTTATAAATGGTGAAAGTGAAAATGTATGAAAAAGATTTATGCTGTAGTGCATTTCGCATATGTGATTTAGCAAGCAAGCGATAAAGTGTGAAAAAGGTACAAAATAGCATTTGCGATACGAATTCGAAGATATCAAAATAGCATGCAATAGAAGAGCTATGTACAAAGACATGCACAGTTAGTTGTTTGTATGCGTACCTTTTCCAACTCTATGCCGAGTTCAGTTTGCGTGCTACCAACGGGCTGAAACGCATATATAAATATATCATTATGTTGCGAATGTTTTACATCGAGGCATTGTCAAGCGAAGCGGCATGACTTGTTATTTTCGAGCAGTTGAGAGATGGGAAGGTATATTTTCATTCACAAATGAATTTTTCCCCAATATGTAAAACGACAATAAAATTAAAGCAGAATTAATGGAAATAATGTTTCATTAGTTTTGTAAATGACACTAAAAATCAATTTTCTTTTGTCATTTGTTTGCTTTAGTTTTACGACTTAAATAACTACCAAGTAGTAGTGAAAATTATGTTTTTAGAACTGAAAATATAAAATAAGCATCATAGATGTGGTATGAATGGATATAAAAAAATCCGTGACATTGTGAATTACGAGTCTTTGTTTGGATATGTGATTGTTAAACAAAAACCCGCATCACAATAGGAAACACATTGTTTCAAACATTGTCATCATTAGTTCAAATTATAACAAAAAACGGAGTCACAAATTTACCATCATTCAATGGCATAAATAATAACACTAAACAGAAAACTTATAAAAAATCAATCTGTCAACATTTAGAGGACCAAATTAAATTAGTAATTTTGACAATCATACAAAGACAATTCATAGTCATCCTTCTCCTCATCCTACTCCCGTAGGGTCGGCGCAAAAGGTTTTTGTCCTCCACATAACTGTATCATACGTCATCACTCCGTTTTTGATCATGTCACCTTTCACGCAATCCATCTCTTTCTATGTCTACCTCTACCGGTGTACCCTTCCACACTCATAACTAAGTTCTCCGTGTAAACATACATACAAAGACAATTAAATAACCTAATTATGTATGTATTTATAGCAACCTATACTCAAATTTCATCTAGTAAAAATAAATTAACGACTTTTTATGATTTTTTTATGAAAAAACTAGCTTTCGCCCGCAAGTCCGTCCGCGTGGAATTAAAAAAGAAACAAAACAAAAGTAAGTAGCTCATGCGTTCTTCCAGCCTATCATCTACATCTATACGTTAAATTTCATAAAGATCTGTTAAGTATAAATAGCTACAAATTTTAACAAACATCCATCCATTCAAACTTCGCATTTATATGAGTAAGATTAGCAGTAATTCGCAACAATAACGAAGATGACAGTTATAAGAGAATAACTTCCATTCAAAGACCTTCAATGGCTTGTCTGTGACGACTGTGTGATTGTATGGTGTGTGTGGTTACCTCGTGGTCTGACATCTGCGAGAGCTCGTGCGCGAGCGAGTGCTCCAGCAGCGGCGAGCTGGCGTGCAGCAGGCTGCGGCCCGCCTCCACGCCGCGCGTCAGCAGCTGCGCCTGCAGCTCCTCCTGCGCCTCGCATAGCGCTGCAACCGATATATTACCTTACTGTTTTTATTTTGGCGGTTTTCAGTCAATGAAAGAAATAATTATTATTAATACAATAAAAATAATTATTATTAAAATAATTAAAAAGATATGCTTAGTGCTAACGAATCAAAAATGTAAAAGCCTCTTTTTTTCATAGGCAGTGACGATAATGATGAAATTAATTAACATTTGGGTCCAAGTATTATTTTAATTACTTTATTTGACAAGATTACACAGGCATAAATATTCTATCGCCATGTGAATAATAGGTTTGATCATGTTTTCCACTGCTATAAGGATTTTTAGATCGGTTAAATGTAAACCAACGGAATTGTAAAACTGAGCAATGCTTTGTTTTTTTGGCCGTAACTTACATCTGTTCTGGTTGCGTAATAACACAAGCTCCTCCCTGAGTTCATCCAGCCTGGGATCAGGGTCTGGTGGCGGGGGCGCGGTGTCGCGGGCGTCCAGGTCCCTCTGCGCGGCGGCGAGCTGTGCCCGCAGCGCAGCGCACGCCGCCCGCTCGCGCCGCTCCGCCTCACGTGCGGACGCCAACGCCGCTGTTAACTCCCCAACCGCCTCTTGGGCTTCACGCTGTGCTCTTGTTGCTATCTCGCTGTTAGCTCGCAGAGTTTCTGCTACTCCACGTAGACGGCCCACCTGTATTATTGAAACTTGTAGCTCAGACTGATCTCAATTAAAATGAACCGGTCAATGGTACGAAAGGCCATTGAACGTAATGGCTTTTATTAAGTAAACCATTATGTATTGGGCTTTTGGTTTATGTTTATACTGACTAATAAAAAGGTGCGTTTAATGGTTAAATAAAGGTGCGATTTTAATTATGAGAAACATTGTAATGCGGGTCTCATTTATGAATTGGAATGCCATGTAACGGCTGTGAGAACTTTTTAACCAGCTATGCATTAATATCGGAATCGATTACTTACGTAATTTATTTAACGGGTTTATTGCATTGGAAAGTAGATTATTTAATGAAACAAAAAAAGAAAGAATGACTTCAGGTGCAGACGAAAGTTCATTATATGAACGCTCACTAATAATTGTGACCTGGTTATTTAAGCTTAATGTATCGCTTCTACATCCGTGATTATTACATGTTCAATGTTTTACTTAAAATATGAACGGTAGGAAGATAAACTTATAACAACGTTTATGTTATGCGCTCTGTTATTCCAAGAAGACAGATAAGTTTAAAACATGTTTCAGCAATGGAAACTGCAGTAAGATCTTATCCATGTTACCTCTTGCTTGAGATCGGATGCCTCATTCTCGGCGGCCGCGAGTCGGTCAGCTAATGCCGCGAGTTGCGCGTCTCTATCCCTCTCTACTCGAGCGATAGCTTCTCTATGACGTCTCTGTTCTTCTGCTATACGCTCCTCGCAGCGACTCTCCATCTGGTAAACAAGGATATGTTTCAAATGGTATATTATGTTTGGGGATACGAGGGTTAAGGGAACCCAAGTTCGCTTTTATAATCAATGAATTTATTGGATGAAGTTTGTTACACGTAAGCACACGTTGTCGGCTTCAAACATAATCTATAGTTCTACTATAAAATACTGGCTGGAATAGTATTTTTTAGTTATGCATTAGTCTGTATTCTATGATTAACCCACTGTTGTGAATATTAAATTAATAGGAGAGAAATTAGCATTTTTTTTTAAACGAAGGTTGCGAACAAGGTCTAACAATAGTCAACAGAAAACAAAGCTATAATTTAGCTTTGAAGCCGTCTAGCCTTGGCTTTGTTGTTATCAAACTTAATGACCGGAAACAGGGGTTGCATGCAAAGCCCCCTCGTTGCTACGCCACGATACTAACACATAACTTCACTGCGTGCTTTATTTTAAAGCTTTTAAAAAACTACACTACTAAAAAATGTATGGTTTTTGTCCTTATTTAATAAATGACTTCAATTATTAAATAACACTAATATAAGCTTAAGAAGGTTGTGATAAAGATTAGGAGTAAATCATATTAGCTTTTTTTTTAGTTTTGTATACAATTTTTTTAACATAAATGTGCAATAACTTAGAATAAGTATCGTTTAGCTTTCACCATCATACATAAATCGTTCAATGATTTAAGTTACTAAATACTAAATGAACGGAAAACGATTGATTACAATCGCGCAGTTAACTTCGATTCCGGTAAGATATGAATTTGTTTTCTGTTTGCTTCCGAAGTGTTTTCGATTGGAAATCATTCATCATATTGAATGAAGAACTGAATAATTAACATTTCATAACAATTGTTTAGCTGTACAGGACCAGTATAAAGCAAAATTTTAGGAATACAAGTGTTTTTTGATAAATTAAACACTGAATCGTGTCTAATATTAAGTTCGGTTTTAAGATAATATAGTTTTCGGTTATTTTACAACGATTTAAATTAAATAATAGCATTTTCCCCGTGCAGTGTATTTATCATTCAGTGAGTGTCTCAAGCGCGACCGGCTGTCAGACTGTCGCTGGTCATTCACTCCGTTCAATCGACACCGCGATCGGTCACACGACGTGCACTTCTGTATCGACAATATCGGATCATTCAGCGTGGGAAATTTTATACAATTAACAACGACCTCCCATAGGTTATACAGCGAAATTTATAATTACTCAGTCTTTAGGTAACTTCTAAACAGCATTGAGATTTTTTTGTAGCACGTAGCTGTTATCGAAGTCCTAGAAATATCTAATTAGAATCAATTATGATAGATAAGATATGATTTGCATTTAATTACTCAGCCTTGTAACATCTAAATTAAATAAATCGATAACGATTATTTTCTTTTAGCCTGTGCGACGTGATTTAGTTTATTTGTTTACTTTATCCTTTTATTTCATCAAATACTGTAGTAGAATATTGATTATTTTTAGTATTGATTCAAACCTGCGTTGTACAAGCAATGTAGAGAACGGCATCAAACAACTATAACAAGCCTGTTTATTGCCCTATTTAAACTACTGGAGGTTAGATCGTTTGCTCTACGCCCGCAGTCTAAAGTTGGAATGAGGTCATTGCGAATTGCTGTTTACATTTAAAACCTATACTAATAAAAGACAGAAGACAAAAACTGAACGTTCTATTGCCAATATTAATTTTTTTTCCAGAATTTCTGACAACTTGCATTAAAATCTGTCCTTTACTAAATCCCCTTGTATCATAATATGAGAAATATTTAAAGGTATTGTTGACTTTAAGTTTAATGTCATTCATTCATCAGATTGTCTGTGTGATGGTCGGTATTTCGGTATTCACTCCGTTCAATGTGTATTGTACATACCTCTCTGAACTGTTCCTCCAGCATATGTACCCTGGCCTGCAGCACGGCTTTGTCCGCCTTGACGCGCGCGTAGCGGTCGTCGGCAGTGCTCTGCGTGTCGGCCAGCGACGTCACTTGCTGCTGCAGCAGTTGTACCTACGGACAGACAGACAAATTAATATATTAAGGGTCCACACGTAGTAATTAATTCGACAATTTAATTGAATATCTCTGTTTTAAATCGAACAAGACGTTTTGTCTAGAGGTTAAGTAAGACTTGATCGTTGTAAACACCTGTGCAACAGAAAGGCTTATCGTTAAAAACCAAGGTTATTTACTAGTGTACCTTCTTGACTATAATGACAGTTTTAAACAACTACATTATTTTTTTTTGTATTATCGTTGAAACTCTGAAACTACGAATTACTCTATAAAATTCTACAACAAAAAAGGTAGATAGCTATTATTTAGCATGCAATATCCATTAACGCTTATAATTAGTAATGAAAAGAACTTTATCGACGATAAATATGATAATTAAGTTGTAATTTCCTCTTATATTATAATTAGTTAACCCTTATCTCTATGTTAAATGGATCACAGGCACGCTACATAGTTATGCCTTTGGCATGTAGATGAAAGTGCATACACCAGCCACAGACCGGTCCCCACAGCTGATAAAACTTGTCCGAGAACTAAACAAAAAACTATAAACAATTTTCTTGCTAGACAGCGACTCGACTGGAAGCAAGCTAATGCCTTTTTTGCTCAAATTATAAATGTATTAAATCAACCTTCCGGCTGAATCTAATCTGAATTTTGTTCTATCTACATTAAGAACTTATGCAACGACTGTAATGACCGGATGGCTTCGTAAGGGGATAACTTGCGAAAAAGTCAGGTTATATTGTAGATAATTTTAAAAGCATCAATTATTGTAATGAACTATGTGTTTTCGACACGCTTGTCCACAGAATTTCTAAGTAAATAAAGACGGATACTGACTATATAGACGAAGGAAGACAAGACAGAAGTAACGGGAAATTGAAAGAATTGTACCTAATTTTTGTTACACAATCACCATAGCGATATTTTTTATTCAATTAATAACCAAGACAAATTCTTGTCAGAGTTATAAATATGTGTTAAAATTACGATGTATCCCCTCATGTTCACCGATAGAAATAACCAGTATGATTGTGTCGTTTGTGATTCAGACTTATTTCCACCACGTCCTTGACTTGTTCTGTCGTTCGGCGAAAATGAAGCAGAATCTGTTCTTACCGCTATTCACAATTATTGCTCATCGTATCATAGCAAATATAAACTAATGTTTGATCACAGCAAATAGTTTTTAATTGCTTATTTGGATTAGATATTTATCATTGTTTAAGAGATTGCTTCTATAAAATCCGGTCCACGGAAGACGGATTTAATATTTTCAGTATTTGTATAACTAGAATATCTTTGATATCTTTAGAATTTGTTAAGACACTATTTGTAAGTCTTTTACACTTTTTCTGAGCCTGTCAAGGAAAACTTATAGTTTTTCCAATATGCTTTAAATATGATTAATTTTATCGTAAGTAATCTTTAAGAGTTAAGAATCAAATAATTTATTATCGTTGTTCGATTGCAAATACTAGAAACCACACTTAGTACAATGAGCCATAAATAGATTTAATTAACTAAGGACAAGTACTGAACTATTGGATGAAGCTGCCATAGTAATGCTTAATTAAACAAGGAATGTGACATTACTTTTTATGGACCGTTTCATGGTAACCAATTATTAATATTTTAAAGAAAAATACAGTAAGAATAACAGCAATGGAAACTCAGGTCAACTTTGTATGATATTTTTATATCTCAAGAGACGACACCAAATAAGCAAGGAAGCGAGATATCCAATTACTCTTAAACAAACACTCGATTGTCTTCAATGTCAACAGAAATGTATAATTAAACAGACTGAAAGGAATTGAATGCGACATTGTCTTTTTAATAGAATTTAAAATGGAGAGAGTAGGCAGTTTTGATAGGAGAAAGACCCGTACTCAACGTAATTTTCTGTGTCCGTAAAAGAGATAAAGTCAACGTTTTTGCATTTTAATTTCAAGCAGATGTTTATAACCAAGTGGACTATAGCTCGTTTGCTAATTTTTTTGTAAATTTTTGTAACTCTACAAGAAAATAATCATCTAGTTGGCGCCAATATACATTGAGAACATTTCTAAAAATGTCTCGGCATGTAAGACGCGTCATACGAGTACCAAGATAATGTATACTTCGTGTACAGTACGTGTAACACATGACAAATAACGAAAACAGGAAGCGAAGACATACGGGATACAACTGATTTTAAACGTGACTCATGTTTGTTAAAGGTCTAATTGTCTTCAACTGTTAAAATAATTATAGGAACACCGAAGTTTAACAGTAAACGCAGGTTTACTAGTAACAAGTACTTAACCTATTGTAGTTAATTTTTGTTTCTGTAATAAATGGGTTGCCAAATGTCCCATATTTAATTTTATTTATCAACTCTTTGAAAATCCTGCAAATAGAAAAGTTTTAACTCTTCTTCGTTGTTGATTACATTTTGTAACAAATCTTATCACATATGATTTCGCCAAGTCTCAAATACGTGTTATTGTTGTAAATTAAAAAATGATGTCGTGCTAGTGTTAAGTTTCAGTATAATTGTTAACATCTTGTAATCGCGGCTTTAGAATCGATCGTTAAATTGATGTAAAACTTAAAACTCAGTCTACAATTGGATTAAATGCGGTAAATCTTGTAATTACTACTAAAGGTGAAAATGTCAAGTTGGTCACTTTAGGGTTTCCACGCAAATGTGACTGAAAAAATTGTTTATAATTCTCGAAAGATGCAAGTATTTTTTTGTTATTGTTTTAAAGGGAACAATCGAATTTCATTTAAAATGTGTGTTCCGAATGTTTGGCATGGACAATGAAGGGAATCAGTTTACTCGCCAACATCTGAATCATTTTCTGGGAACGATTCGAGCATTTATACGTACAATATCATATGTGTTTCATAGGTATTGATAATTTTAGCCGACTTTATAATGAATGAATGAAACTCTAAATATACGTTGTTCAATCATGTTTTATATGAAGAGTAAATTGGTATAGATGGAAGCAAACGAGTAACGGATCGATGACTTCAATACAATGTTTTGCTCAATAAAAACATCGATCTCTAAACGCGTACGAAAGTCATTTGAAAACCAAAGACAATATGCGGAATGAATAAATTAATTTAGGAGAAATCTTGAAATGCGAAATTTGGCTTGTAAATGTGAATGAGAGAGTACGTTGTTATTTTAACAAGATCTAGATAAATTGTACACGGACCGTTCATGAAGTTTGCGTTAAATACACATAGATATATGTTTTCGTAGAAGTGGCAAACCTACGGATTGATTTTTAGGTTAGATTTAAATGAATTATTTTGTAGCTTATAATCATACTTCCTACTAATATTATAAATGCGATAGTTTAGAGGATAGATGTTTGTTAGAGTTTGTAGCCTAAACGGCTGAACGGATTTTGATGAAATTTGGTAAAGATGGAGAGGATAGTCCCGATAAACATATATGCTACTCACTTTTTTTTTATTCTACGCGTACGGAGCCACAGGCGAAAGCTAGTCGCTTAATATAAAAACAACGTTGAAGCTTTCTTATTCGCGTCAGAGTTTTATTTGCTTTATTATGTTTTGTTCTATATTATAATACTTGGATCAATTTTTAAGTAATTTAAAAGCGTAACCGTAAACTAATCTGTGATCAGAAAATGGATATTATCAAATAAGTATTTGCGGTTCGAATAGCGTTCCGGTAGATTGAATTAGACAAATCTGGCACAGTTCAAAATTGCGAATTTAAACGCAGCTACCATATTTCGTTTCCATCAATATCAAAATATTTTCACCATAGAAAAACTGCAAATTTTGCTAATACTTGTTGTAAAACACTTCTATTTATGTATTTTTATTTTTTTGTCAGATTATATTATTATCTTTAAAAATATATATAAAAACTAGCTTTCGCCGCAACTACGTCCGCGTGGAATAAAAAAATACAAAAATAGCCTACGTATTCTTCCAGACTATCCTCTACATATACCAAATTCCATCCGTTCAGCCGTTTAGGCTACAAACTCTAACAAACATCCATCCATCTAAACTTTCGCATTGATAATATAAGTAAGAAGTAAGATAGTGTAATGGGGCCCAATATGTCATTTAACATTGTAGACACTTTGTACATCTGTTTCGTCATCTCGTTTTGCAAGTTCGCGTAATACGTTGAAAAGACATATATCTTTGTGTTTCTTGTTTTGTTCTGCACTGAAATACAGGAATAATAAAATTACCTAGTACTTAACACTTACTTGCAAGGTTTCTTATAATAAGATAGTGTACACCTCAGTAGAATGTTACGCAAAACCTTTGTGTTGGTATTACCGGCAACAACATAAATTATATCTTTCATTGTCTGTCTGTATATCTTAACAAATGCGTTCAAGAACATTTGTAAACGATCTAAAACTATAGGTTTATAATTATTGTGTAACCTATTCATCACTTCTTCCACATTACGCCATCCCTTTCCCTTTTCACCCTTTTCTTAAGAGACGTGGATTTGACGGTGGAAGAGACGCATAGGATGAGGAAAAATCATCTTTATGTGCGTCTTCTGCGTCAATTAAGGGTAGGCAACGCATCTGCAATTCCGGGAACAGCTAGTACAATATATACCAACAATTTTATAAAACGATATCGCTATAATTATTTTTTATGTTATTATTAAAAGTACTGCATTGCGACTTGAAGATAACCTAGAAAACGAAACTCATTTGATAACCTTTGTTAGTTATAAATGCAGAAAATAATCTTCCTAGCGACTAACTAAGATCATTACCACGTCTACACGTCGTGTTCAATGTTTAAAAATAATGATGTAAATATGCAAAGGTTAATCAAATATTATACACTAAAAGCATACTATTGATTTATCACTTCTAGTGTAAATGCCATCATTTTTATATCATCATCTGAGTTTTTATTTTTATATTCCTCTCTAGGAGACACTCCAATTTGGTAGAACAGGGAACTTCGTCACTTTA